ATATTCATGGTGCGCCTACTTGTCGCCACCGTTAATTGACATAAATCACTACAATTTGAAAAAAGTCTAACATAACACTCTAACCTTGTTTATTTATGATTTTATTAGCCGTTTCGATTATTATATTACGCCTGGGTATTACTTTTTGACAGAAACCCAGGTTTTGCGTTCTGTTTTCCCCTCCCTCATATCGTAAGCTATACGCAATAATTGATACCGACACAAATGAATATTTACCATGTATAAAGATTTTTGTTTACGTTTAATTGAAAATATTAAAATATGTGCTTTCTTGCGATTCCACCCAACACCGAAATTTTTTTAGTGGGGCAATTTGTAAAATCATCGATATCTTTTGGCGCCTCGAGGATGCCGGCACGCGACAGTATAAGATCAACTTCGTGTTCTGGATCTGAATACTTGCAACTCCGCAAGTGACTTGAAATGTCTTTTTAACAATCACGCAAGGGAACGACTTGGTCTTCTCGATAACTAACCCACAAGTTCCACCAGCGAACGATTAAACTAAACAGCAAATCTTTAGTTTAGCATGTAAGATGAGACGCTTGTGAAACAGATCAGTTAGCTAAATCAGTATGTAGCTTGTCAATCAAATTGACTCTGGTAACCATACTTTGACTTCAGCCGGCAAAGGAATCATGGATGGATCTGGACATTTTAGTTTCTGAGAGCAGTAATTGCTGAAAGGTTTTTCTGGATGTCAGGCAAAGAGGAAAAAAACCCATCTCTTGGTATTTCGGAGGTTGATTCATCTTTGAATTTCTGTGCCACGCTTGTTACGCAACTGATAGGATAGAGAAGATATATAAACTGGAACTCAAACCTGGCTAGAATGTGGTAGAGCATAGTTATGGTGATCATCGAAACAGCTAGTAAGATCATAAGTAAATAAGGTAAGAGTGTTATGCTAGATTTTTTTGCAAATTGTAGTGATTTATGCCAGTTAACGGTGGCGACAAGTAAGCGCACCATGTATATTTCATAGTCGCCATCAGGTAAATTTTGCCAGACTTCGAGTTCGGCTCAAGATAGAACAACACAAATACACAAGGAAATTTTTACAGTAACTTTATAACCATCCTTTTGTCTTATAAAAGCTTGAAGCCCAGTGGATTTTGTCATATCGGTCATTGTTAAAACTGTCTTTGTTTTGATGCTACTTTTCGACATAGTAAAAGTATGTCGGACAAAAATATTCACCAAAAAATAAATATTTCTTTGCCAGCTTCAATAACGACAGGGGATTAATTTTAGATGATAAAACAAAGGATTATGTTCACAGAAATACCGTAGGTCTAATACATTTGTCACATGAGGTCACAACTCGGGTAATATTCACGGTGAAAATTTGCATATTTGAGCGGTCGAACGAAAAAAATTATTTCTCGAAAACTAAAATAAATTTTTACAAAAACACTACACCACAATTATTAGAACATATTGGGCTACAAACTATGAAAGTAGGGGTGAAAAAAAATTTGGGTGACTTGCCGCTGTTTGTTTGATGCATGCTGACATTAGCTCTTAAGAATTAAAAGAGAAATAAGCAAACCGTTGTATTCTGTCATTGTTTTTAGCTTTGCATTGCATAGGTAGGAGATTAGACCGAGTTTTCTACACCAAAATGCAAAACTAATGCAATCTTGGCTCCCTTTTGAAAACAGGAACAAAATTGTGCTGTATTAGTAGTTAAGTAATATTTCATGACTTGTATGCGTCAGCTATCATACGAATATGTTCAAATACGCCTTACAAACCTTTATATAAACTTATATCGGTAACATACACACGCAATTGATTTAACATGATCCTAAATTAAATTAAAAATCCTACAAAATTGAAATATATCATCTTCAGGAGTTAGAACAACCAAGGGTAAAGGTCAACTGGGGTCTTAATTGCTATGCAACTAAGTTACATAGCTTTAGATGAAGACTAAATTGCAAAGTTGCACTAAGTTTGTTTGTAGACGACTTGATAGCTATAGGAAGGGGCAGCATCACATTTTATTTAATCGCCTGAATGCTGTTTCATCAATTTACATACTCTCAGATACTATATTGATATTTGTATTGAGAGTGAAAGACACATTTGCAGTTAAATGACTCGAAAACCGATCTCTTCTCCAGCCTTTTAAATACATCTCAGGAGCCAGTAGGATGATAGAAGTCCACTTTCATATACTTGTACAAAGAAATCTTTACATCTTTGGAGTCGAAAACGGCTCACGTTGTATCTATTGTCAAGAGAACGAGTCCACTATGTACCTGGTCGAAGGATTTGAAAAAAGGGTTAAATAATAAAAATGCCCTCTCGTTCTCTTAGTAAACTTACGTTGTGAAGTCTATTTCATTCAATTTACTAGGCAGACGAATATCCTGAAAAGATCTACTCTGTCAAAAGTGGAATTCCTACTATGAAAACCAAGCAAAACAGGCTACGGTTAATTCCTGCTCCTTGCTTTCAAGCTCTTATGCACGTAGCTTTTCAACGTAAAGCGTCAAAAAATCGACGCTTTTTTATAATTTACTTTAAAAAAGTTTCAGAACACACACATTATTATAATAATGTTCGGA